TTACAACTCAGTCTCTTGATATAATGTGTAGAATGCTGATATCTACGAAATATGAGAATATTGTTATGGAGCAGGTTTGCACTCTGTAAAATATATTGTCAAAATTGAACAATTTTTTTCCTATTTCTTTAAGATAATGGAAAATTAAATTAAATAGTTTCGGACGTCAAAAACTAAAATTGCCAATAATCAACTTCCAAGCTATAATATTTTTATTGATTCAGATTTTCGATACAATATATATACAATTCAGCACGTTTCAAGAGATTTTTAAAATTTGACTTTTAGGGGAGCGAAAATATTTTGTTTGTTTGTTTGCTTGTTGTTTAATGTCTCTTTCGAGAATTTTTCACTCATATGGAGTGCCGGTGGAGAGCTGCAAATTTTGACCTATACTCGGCACTTAGGGCCTTTGAGCAGTGAGCGATCTTTTTCGTGCCAGCACCTACTGCGACACTTGCCCTCAATTTATACGGCATAATCCGAAGGACCGGTCTCCATTTCCCACAGAGGGAATCGAACCCACGACGCAAGGATCAACTCCTTACTCCGCGACTCTAGAGCACTGCCCCACGCGGTCGACGGGGGCAAAAATATGCATGCATATACCGTATATAGTTCTTTCATAAGTATATTAATGACTGTTGTCACAAAATATTCCATTTTCTTTTTTCTTTGACCTTGAAATTTAACCTCTTGCCACTAAGCATAATTCAGCCCTGGATATAATTATAAAACAAAATTTGAGCAAAATCATTTATATAAAATTCAAATAATTGCCATAGTCACGCTTCCATAAGCCTCTTATTCCTTTGTCAAAAAATGTATGTCTTCAAAGTCTCAATTTAAAGCTAAGCATATACAACAACTGTCCAACATTTTCGCGCATACACAATATTCCCATCGTCAGTAACTTTTGGATGTTCCCCATCGATTCTGTTACAGGGAGCTGATTTGTGAACTCAAAATCGTGGTTTGCGGGGGACGTAGTTTTCTGCTTGTAGTGCAATATTACAATAAATATCACTCAGTCAATATTGCAGTTAATATCACTCAGTATAATCACAAACCTTTAAAATTGAAGAGGAGTAGAATTTCAAATCACTGACAAGAACTTGTTCATAAATTTCTTTTTTATAACTTGTCTTGAGTGATTGTATGTTGTTTTACGTCCCGTCCGTGAATTTTTCACTCATATACCGGTGAATGGCTTTAAATTTAGACCTATACTCGGCACTCAGGGCCATTGAGCAGTGAAGGATCTTTATCGTGCCAACGCCTACCGTGACACGGATGACCTGCAACTTTCACTTTAAGTGCCGAGCGCTTGGCGAAGGAACAGTTGCTACCTATTTTTCATTGACTTAGGTCAGTCGCGGCCCGGGCTCGAACCCACGATCTTCCGATCACGGAGCGAGCGCTCTACCGATCGAATGAGCTACCGTGACGATCTTATAACTTAATGTTTTAAAAATATTACTAGTCGCCCGCGTGGCGCAGTGACTAGAGCGTTTACTCTAGAGTCGCGGAGTAAGGAGTTGATCCTTATATCGCGGGCTCAAATCCCACTGTGGGACATGGAGACAGGTCCTTCGGATGAGACCGTAAAACCGAGGTCCCGTGTCGCAACAGGTGCTTGCACGAAAAAGTTCCCTTGCTGCTCAATGGCCCTAGGTGCCGAGTATAGGTCAAAATTTGCAGCTCTTCACCAGTAAGTGGTGGCGTCTCCATATGACAAACAAATTACTAGTACTCTGTGTAATCTAATAGGGAAAAGTTTAACCATTAATGAAACCAAAATTTCTGAGGGTTTTAATAAAATTAAGGTTAAACAAAAGCAAAGCCGTCATTGTGACGGCAAACCGGGTTTAATATTGTGTAAACAGTACTGGTGTTTCTCACATAAATTGTAAAAACGTTCTATTCTGAAAACTGTAGGAGGTGACATCCCAAAATATCAAATAAATGTATCCTATCCTGGACATTTTGCATAAAAATGATTAAGTTTACTACTGGTATTTTTTCCATAAATTATCAAAAATGTATGGTAGCATATGTCTGCCCCCTATATGCAAGATAAATTATGTTAACATGCGAAAAAATTATGTCAACATGCAAGATAATAATTATGTCTACATGCATAATAATTATGTTGACATGCCAGTTACCAATCTATTTAGAGAATTTAAAACTATGGTGGCATATTTCTGCCCTCTACATACAAGATAAATTATGTTAAAATTTTAACATGCAACATAATTATGTAGACATGCGATTTATTTACGTCATCATGAAAAATAATAACGTTAACATGCAAGTTCCCAATCTCTTTAGAGAATCTAATTTTAATGTTGGTAAACTTTACAATTATATGACATCATACAAGCAAGATACAACAGAATTATGTAGACATGCGACATGCGACTTATTTATGTTAACATGCATGCGAGATAGTGTTGTAGACGTGGAACTAATTTATGTCAACATGCAAGATAATTATGTAAACATGCAACTTATTTATGTCAACATGCAAGATAAATACGTTAACATGCGAGTTAATTTTGTCAACATGCGAGATACTAGTATGTATGTTGACATGCAACTTATTATCTTGCATGTTGACATAAATATCTTACATGTAAAAAAAATAACTCGCATGCTGACATAATTAAAATGCATGTTGACATAAATAAGTTGCATATTAACATAATAATCTTCATGTTAAAATATAACTTGTATGTTGACATAAATAAGTCGCATGACTTATGTTGCATGTTAGAATAAATATCTTGCATGTTGACATAAACAAGTTGCATTTTTACAAAATTATGATGCATGTTAACGTAAATAAGTCGCATGTTGACATAAATATCTTGGATGTTAAAATAATAATCTTGCATGTTCACATAAATAAGTCGCAAGTCAACATAATTCTGTTGCATATTGCTTGTATAATGTCGTATAGTGGCGTTAGTAGTATGTTTACCAACATAAAAATTAGAATCTCTAAAAAGATTGGTAACCTTGCATGTCAACATTATTATTTTGCATGAAGACATAATTAACTTCAATGTTGACATTTTTTTCTCGCATGTAAACATAATTTATCTTACATGTAGGGGGCAGAAATATGCCACCATAGTTAACATACTTACTTATTATCTTGCATGTTGACATTTATATCTCATATATCATAAAACGACAACATATAAACAAGATGCAACAAAATTATGTTGACATGCGACTTATTCATGTTGACGTGCAAGATATTTATGTCAACATGTGGATTATTCAAATTAACTTGCAACATAATTAAGTAGACATGCAACTTATTTATGTCAACATGCGATTAATTTATGCCAACATACATGTATGAGTTATATTTTAACATGCAAAATATTTATGGCATGCAAGATAATAAGTTGCATGTCAACATACATATCTCGCACGTTGACATAATTTATCTGCATGTTAACATAGTTATCTTGCATGTTTACACAAATAAGTTTCATGTCTACATACTTATCTTGCATGTTGACATAAATAAGTCGCATGTCTACATAATTATGTTGCATGTTATGTTTAGGGGGCAGAAATATGCCACCATCAACAGAAATTTCAAGTATCATGCTTATCTCTAAAATATGTACAACTGATCTGCAAGATAAAAACTTTCTATCTTGAGAACTTTAGGAGGTGTTATTCGGACAAATGATGTATCCTATAAAAATTATTTTGCATAAAAATCACTACGTTCTATAACTGGTATTTTTGTCACTAATTATTCGAAATCCAAGTACAATTAAATTGTACCATTAACTCCTCTGATGCATGCATATGTTTCATGTGATACATATACAATTGATCTGGTATTTTCCTCGTTAATCGTCAAAATCAACATCCAAATACAGTACCTTACATCTCTGTTAACTTATATGTACAACTGATTAATTGATTGATTGATTGTATGTTGTTTTACGTCCCATTCGAGATTTTTTCATTCATATAGAGACGTCAACGTATGCCAGTGAAGGGATTCAGACCTATAATTGGCATTCTGGGCCATTGAGCAGTGAAGGTTCTTTATCGTGCCAACGCCTACCGTGACAAGGGGCCTCGGTTTGTAAGGTCTCATCCGAAAGACCCGTGACTTTCACTTCTAGTTCCTGGCGCTTGGCGAAGGAACAGTCACTACCTATGCCCTAGGTATTGAAGCGGCGCGGCGAACGAGAATCGAACCTGGGCCTCCCGATCACGAAGCGAGCGCCCAACCACAAGGCTACCGTAACCTGTATATGTACAATTGATCTTAAAAATAAAAACTCCCGATCTTAAAAGTATGTACCATTTTGGCAGTCGCCGGATTTATCCGACCATTTTATATTTTATGTTTTATCTTTTAGCGTTTTCCCCCTTAATTTTAAAGAATGGCGGTTTGGACAACTACGGTTTGTGTGAGTGCATATCATAGAGTTAACATTTGCACAAACAGCAAATTTCACAATTTTTATTTTAAAATTCGAATAACAATCAAAGTATATTTTTATTTAAAAAATAAAAACAATTCATATTGTATAAACAGATGTCACAAGCAGTGCACAATCCCTTCATATTGTGTTACCTAAAATAATGCAATCTCCCTTGCAGAGTTGTCGTTCATTCCACTCTCAGACACCTCTGCAATTGGTTCGAGTGAAGATTTTTGACATAAA